TATTTGGTAGGGGCAGGAACCCAAAAATAAAAAGGGCAAACGAGTACTACTCAGGAACCTAAGCTTACAAGGCAGAACTCCCAAGCACTATGAAATTCCCAGAGGCCCAGAAGCAAACATCCGCGAACTTTACGCTCAAACTCTGACAGCTAGCAGCTGAGTCGGCCTCAAGAATGTCTCAGCGACCGACTCTGGCATCCAGCTGAACAAGTCGGGCATCCAGCTGCAGAAGAGCGTCGTGGCAGGTCGCGCGTGCCTTCGCAACAATTTGCCGATTCAGTCCTCCAGCTTTCGTTAGCATCTGCTTTTGATTTTTTCCAAATTGTAATGTCTTGCTCTCTTCTCTTGCCAGTGAAGGCATCCTCGGGAACGACCTGAAATGCAAGCTTTTCGTTCAAAGTGAGCAGCTGCCACCCGTTCTGGACTCATTGCCCACGGCCTTGTCAACTTTTGGTTTTTGCATTGCAATCTCATCTGCCACTGAGGCCACAGCAGCCACTTGGCTGGAGGGGAATTAATCGGAGAATCCACTCGACATATCCTTCCAAATTTTGGGCACTACGGGGTTTTGGGTGGACAACAGGTGTGCCATTCTGCGGGGCGGTCGTACACCTCTGTTTTGGTTGGGTTGCGGGAGGGGGAAGCTACCTGGAACCGCCTTCGAGGGCTGAGAGGCCTGAGTTTAGGGCATGTAAGCTTCGTCAGGCCCTTACGTGACCTGTGACATGGCGTCTCGGGAAAGGTTTTCCGGCAGTATAATGAGGTAAGATGCTTGCCGAAAGATTCTCGAGAGTATCGCACCATAATAAACCCCCACCAGCCCCGGTAAGGCCCGATAAACCTGAACTCTTAAGCCGCCATACGAACTAGCACCCTAAGCAACCGACCAGGCCAAACCCTGATAAAGCCCGATAGACTCAAACATAGCCTATAACGCCCATCTTAAAACAACACTACAGCACTTTGAGGGGTAGCGTTATGACATCAGATAAGCGCTCGAATCCAACACCTGAAACATTAATTAAACCCTAATCCTGGACCTCAACCCTAATCCTAAAAGCCCTAACCTAATCCGAAATCCTAAACTCGTAACCCCTACTGTGAGGGCCCTAACTATTAGAATAGGATTTATTTTTTTCTATTTGTTTTTTTTTTTGGGGGGGGTCCTGATATTCTAATTGAAGTACAACATACCCCCAAACCCTATTCCAATTACTAGGTCCTCCACCGTAGGACCCGGGACACCAAACGCTAAACCATTACACCCCGCCGCCCCCTCCACTCCCCGAGCCGACCTCGTCCTCGATGCAGAGCTTAGCTTCTGATTCGCTGTAACCTCGGTAACCCAGACTCCGACAACTAAAACTACTGCTACTACTACTACTACTACTACTACTACCACTGCTAAACTATTCCTGACAATACGTATATCTACTACTAGACTCCAAACTGTCAACATCAGGGTCCTCTTTTGGGTAACCGGAATATTAAGTGCCGTATCAGGGAAGCCCCAAAAGTGACTATAATTGTGACAACCACCCACATAAATGCAGGAATAGCTCTAGAAATACATGGTATCTATTCTTAAACTATCTAACACAAACATTAGTTTACCTCCTCGGCCGACGGGCCCGCGCCGCCGAGCCTAAATAAAATCTATGTACGACTGTGAACTTGTGGTTTTCAAAAAAACGGTTCTACTACGGTTGATGATATAAACCCTGCATTACCCAACAAGGAATGTACCGATCCTGTCGTCAACCGTACCTACGTGGCCTTGGCGGTCTGGCCCGCTTCCACTTGCTTAAAAAGGTTGCTGTGGCAGGGACAACCTGAGCCAGCCCTGCAACTTGTCACTCCTATACCCTAGCTTTTTAAACCCTACACCACTAAACCCCAAACCCCTAAACCCCTGAACCGCTAAACCCCTAAACCCCTAAGCCCCTGAGCCCCTAAGCCCCTGAACCCCTGCGCCCCTGGACCCCTCGACCCTAAACCCTGATTAAACCTTGGCCGACATCTCCTGGCAAGACCTAAAACTTACTGCCCCAATAAGCCACAGAAACAAAAGGTTAAACTTTCCGATTCCTACTAAACTATCAGTACCCGTAAAGTTTCAAGGTTGGGTATTGGGGATCTAAGATTAAGGCTCCTATATTATAGTACCCTTATGGATCCCTTGTAGTAGCCCTTATATATATATATATATATATATATAAACCCCTTTAAAAGGGAACCCTATTCTAAGAAAAAGAACCCCCCACGCTGCCAGGAGGCCTGGTGTCAGATCGATGACACCTCTCACCTCTGCCACCTGGCCAGAGCAACCGAGGGTTTAGGGGGTAGGGGCTTCTTATATAGAGTTTGGGGATTTTGGGTTTCTAGGGGTTGGGTTTGTGGTTTTGGGTTTAGGGGTTAAGGGCTTCTTAGGGTTTGGGGTGTTTAAGGTTTATAGAGGTTTGGGGCTTCGGGTTTGGGGTTTTGGGTTTATAGGCGGTAGGGGTTTAGGCTTTTGAGGTTTAGGGTTTATAGGTGTTAGGGGTTTAGGGCTGAGGAAATAGCGCCGGCGAGTTGCAGTAAGGCTTGTTGTAAGGGCTACTTCAAGGGTTCTTTAAAGGCTACGAGAAGTTTTAACGGTTGATAGTGTCTAGGGTCCCGAGTCTAATGACATAACCCCTGAGTTGAGAGCTTCGGGTTCAGGGTTGAGCTATACACCATCGGGACCTTAATAGTAAGAATAGGGTTGTGGGATATATTCTGAAAGCCCATCCAAGGGTAAAAGCAGGGGCCCTTTATAAGGACCCCTAGGTATATACCCTTAATATAGCTATTATATACCCAATATATAGCCCATTATAGGGTAGGGGTCCCCATTAAGGGTCCCTCCTTTTCCCCTTTGAGTCCAGTTTCCTAGAAGAAGCGAAAGGCTATTCTTCGGGATTGTTGTTTACTTGGAGGTTCATGGGTAGGTACTGCTGATGGACAAAATCCTGCATGACCCTAAGGACTCTAAACTATGGGAACTATGGTATATGAGTTATACGTCCCTTAATATGGGTTCTAGCTATAGCTACTCTGCTTCTATCTCCACTTATAACTACCCATGAACCTCCAAGTAGGTGAAAGGTTGCTTGTTCGATTACTCACATGGGACTTCTCAATGGCTTTGTACAGTTTGTACTGTTCCGATCTCCCCAAGGCTTCATGTGCCCGTTTCCGGCACCAAGAACGCTTCACAGCATAGTATCCGAGATCTGAAGCCCTGCTATTTGGTACTCGGCCTGAGGGATAAATAAGCTCCACAAAGGCCCTGCAGCTGAACTGCAGAACTGTTTTGAAATGTTGGGTAACTGTTGTATGACGAGGATGCTATGACCCAAAACTGAGGTTTTCGCCAATTGGTACCACATTCTGAGTGAAAGCATGGTAGTTGGCCAGAGAGTTCTCGAGGTTACTGGTGTTTTATAGTTCAGGCCGCTAGGATTTAGGGTTCTCCCGGGTCCGCACTTGGAGGAGCATGGTACCTAGCAAGTAAGGTTGTGATTCCCTTCATAAGGCTCTAACTAAGAATAAGAATAGTTGAATTACTTGTAACGCTAGTTGCTAAGTTCCTGGTCCCTCAGGGTCCAAGTACTCGTCGCTGAAGGAGTATGGGTCCAGTTTGGGTAGCAAGAACCACACATAAGGACTACTTTAAGATCTAGGTTCTGAGTTTACCGTTTCGGCACGAGCGCGCACAGGCAGTGCAAAGAGGGTCCTTGTCTGCTTGAAGCCACTAAACACTACTGAAAGCTAAAGCTACTGCTACTACCACTGCTGCTACTACTACTACTACTACTACTACTACTACTACTCCTGCTGCTACTGCTACTACTACTACTACTACTACTACTACTCCTGCTGCTACTACTACTACTACTACTACTACTACTACTACTACTACTACGACTACGACGACGACGACGACGACCGCAACGACGACTACTACGACTATGACGACGACTCCTACTACTACGACTACTGCGGCGAGTACCAGGACCACGACGACGACGACGACTACTACTACTACTATTACTACTACTTGGAATTCAGGCCACCAACACCATGATTAGAACCCTAAATCCTAAAATCATCGAATCGGAATTTGGGGGGCCCGACATAATCCCCTCATGGCAATGCGTTTGCGGGCCCTCCGGGCTGGCTTCCCGAGTATCCCCTTAGGGTTCCCTAAAGGGTTCCTTAAGGGGATCTATAGGGCTCCTTAAAGGACTTATGGGGTTTACAGTGCTTTTTGGGGTTTAGGGGTTAGGGGTTTAGGGGTTAGGGGTTTAGGGGCTTAGTGGTTTAGGGGCTTAGTGGTTTAGGGTTTAGGGGTTTAGTGCTTAGGGGGTAAGGGGTTTCTCTGGAGACCCCGAAACAAAGAGGACCTGTAGTTGGCTATAACCTAGAGGCTCCTCATATACTACCATGATGGAATTGAGCCTCAAAAGCCATAGTAAGGGTGGCTTTTGGGGGACCTAATACCATATTGTAGTTTATGAGGAGCCTCTGGGTAAAATACCCGAACAGCCTTCTCTAGACGTCAAGCCCTGTCCACTGACTCTTGTAAGACTGTGGGACCTGGCCAGAAATCAGGTTTTCAGGAAACTCCACGGATCCATCTACCCAGTTAGTTGGTATATGCTGTGGCCGTGAGTGCCTACATGGGGACTGCTTCATGAACAAAGTATCTGCCCTATAGATGCATGGACACTGAGGAAAGTGTGCAGGCGAAAGCAACCACTCCGGAAAGAGGAAGAGAATCATCACAATGCAGTCGGGTATCTGACCCGATTTCCGTAGAAAACTCGATGGGAAAAACCCTGAACTCCAAGTGCTGATTCCCAAACCATGATAGCGATCGTTGCAGAGTCAGGTTTTCGACTGGGCATCGCAGGATGGTGGCCATTGGCTAGGGGCAGCACACAGCCGCACGAGGAGAGCATCTCAACCTGTGTTTCTTAATGCAGCCAATGACCTATACCGGACCATACGATGTCCAAGTGGTTGACATAGGCTAGCACTGATGTGGATCGTGGAATGGTCCCGAAGAAGTACTGGCCACACATCGCATAGTTCAGCATGTAGTAGTGCAGCCGCATGCAGGGCATGCCCCCTTTCTTGTTCAATTCCATTCCAATCTCGCGCTGAACATGATCTGCTTCCTTGAGGCCTGCAAGTGGAGCACGCCACAATCGCCGGAGGCAATCGTAGTCAAAACAAGTCACGGCCGCCTCCATCAAACCATAACCTTCAAGCCTGGGTTGCAATGTCTTGGGGCTCTGAAACGTATGAAGGTTTAGAGCTTAAGGTACCTCTGTAGTACTGTAGAAACTTACTCCCCCAATAAGCCACAGAAATGAAAGGTTAAAAAATCCGATTCCTGTTAAACCATAAGAACCCGAAAAGTTTCGAGGTTGGACGCTGGGGATCTAAGGGAACCAAAAAGGGAAACCTAACAAGTTTCCGAACTTGCCACCTAGAAGCACACTCTTCAAACTCTGTTCGCTGCGGTCCAGCTCCCCTGGTCCAGCAGCATCTTTAAGCCATGCCGCCACAGCTTCCTCTTACGTCCAAGTGCTTTACGAAAGGACGGTTTTAGCATGTTTTACCATTCAGAATGATACCAACTTCCCAGAAACCAGAAAAGTCTAAAGTTCGCTATTGCAGACATGTGTCCTTGGCTGGGCAATCATGCTCTCTGACGAAATCCTGCAGCTGCTTATGATCTGCTTCTATCGTCTCCATGTCCTTCGGCGCGAAGGTCATCTCGTTGAAATCTTTGAATACGGCCTGCGATCAAACCCTAAACGGAAAGCACTAGACCCTAACCTCTTAACATCCCAAACTGTAAAGCCTTAAACCCTACCTGAACCCCAAATAGAACCTACCGCTTTTGGGAGTCTCTTTGCAATTTCCTTGCGCAAGTCCTTAAGGCTGTTCGGGTTAAGGTCATATATCGGCCAAAATAATTACCTGTACTATTTTTGGTGGTTCTTCTTTATGATCATACTATAATGGGCCCCGAAACACTATTTATTAAGGCACCCAAATTAACCACCCGGAAAACCCCTTATAGTACTACTTATAGACCCCTTGGAACGGAACCCTTTGAACCTTAAAGGAACCCTGTTCGAATTCTTGAGGTCCCTATATTAGGCCCCAACCTCGGGATCGGCAGATCGATCTTGCTCATCGTCGCTGACCTCCAGCTTATCCCACTTGGAATAGTCGATGGGCATCTTCAAGCACGTCTTGACCCAAACCCCCAGCCCCTAAACCCTAAACTTTAGACCCCTTAACACCATCGAGTTGTGCAAGTGGCGCTGCATAACTCAAGTTTTCAGGCTTTGATTAAGGTCTACACTAGGGCCATAGGGGTAGCTGGGCTTCTACTTGGAAGCTCTTCTGAAAGAGTGTTTGTCTGCCTGCATTGTATGAAGACACGGCCCTCGCTTCGAGCCAAAAGCAGGATGCGCGATCGATGGATTTAGGGTTTAGGGTTTAGAGTTTAGGGTTTAGGGTTTAGAGTTTAGGGTCTAGGGTTTAGAGTTTAGGGTTTGCGCCATCAAGCTGGACCGGCCAGATCGGGTCTTACTCATGAACCTCTCGTGTTGTTGATAGTAGTCTGAAGCATAAACACAACCTAGTATTGCTGCTACTGATATTGCAGGATATTGTCACATTGTTGACCTTGATTAATAAGACGGGACCAAACCTACACCACCGTACAGAAAATCTAGACATGCAGCCAGTCAAACCGCGTCTGACTCTGCATAGCGGAGCTTAGGGATTAGCCAGAGTGAGACCAGGAGCATTCCTCAATGTATACACTCGAGGTACTTGGGGCTCAGGGTAGAAAACCCTCAACCCTAAACACCTTAAGTCAATAAACCCTTAAGCCTGAAAGGAACCTAAGCCCCCGAAGAAGCCGAAACCTCAATGCCTTCAAGGAACCCAAGGCTCTACACCTAAATAAACCCGAAAGCCTTAAAGCAACCTAAAGCCAAACCCCCCCCCCACCCTAAACCCTTAACCCGAAACCCTGAACCCTATACCGCCCCCCGAAGCACCTCATTGAGTGCCACGGTAGAGGTGGCCGACTTAGGCGACTCCACGAATGCTCCTCGAGGAAAAGATCGGATGGCAGGCTGGCCTGAAGCCATATTATCCGTAAGGGTCCATGTACCCCCAATAGGGTTCCTTTAACGGTTCCTTTGAGGTTACTGTGAAGGCTCTATCAGGGTTTGGGGTTTAAGGGTCCATGTACGCAAATAATATATACTTCGGGCCCAATGTACCTATATAGGGACTACCTTAAGGCCAATGTATACACTATTTGGGTACATGGACCCTTAGGGTATGTTCTTTTGCTAAAGGGTTTGAGGGCATCGGGGGTTCAGGGCTTCTAAGGTTTGGGGTTAGTTCAACGACAGTTCAGGGAATGGAATGGTATTTGGG